GGACTCCAGGATCATGACCTGAGCCGAAGGCAGTCGCTTAACCAACTGAGCCACCCAGGCACCCGAGAACCTAGAATGTTCTAGGCACAGGGCTGCAGTGGTGAGCAAGATATGGGATGCATAGACCGGAGGAGACAGGCAGGCAGCAAACGGGCATGCATATGGTGCGAACTCCTGGGGAGAGATGCAGGAAGCTCTGAGAGTTGGAATCGGGAGGTTTGGTGGTCTTGGCCTGAGCACACTCACGCAGAGGGCCTCGCCTGGTGACACACACACCCCTGTGTCGTCCGGGCCCCAGAATCCCGCCAGGCATCCGCAGAGGCTGCCGTGTTCCTGACCCATCCATCAGAGGTGTCCTGAGCGGAGCCCAGATTCACGTTCCTGTGTGTATTTAGAGAAAACATGAGTGACAAACTGGAACCTCCAGCCCGTTTAGCTAGAGAAACAAAAGACCGTAGTGACCCACGTTTTCTGTTGTATGGATAGGCAGGGGCGGCAGGTGGAAACACAGGTCATGCGGTATGAATCCAGGAGTCCAAGGGCAAGTCGTTCAGGAGAACGTCAATGTTATTGGATGAAAACCTGAAATTGCCACGCCAATGGAAGGCTTGACTACTGTTTATATCTGAAGGAAGATTGCCCTTAAAGTGGGTGTTTTCCGAGCAGTGTTCGCTATTGTCAGTTTGTTTGTTGAGAGGGACTGTGTGCAGACACAGCTCCTCTGGTCCCATTTTGCATCCGGGGCCTGGGGTTGCCCAGCGGGAGGTTGGGGACACCGTGAGGAATAGTTCCTTTGTGCCTGGCCCCTCTGCTAGGGTCCAGCCATGCTCACGTGTTGTGTTGTGTCTCTGGGCAGGTGGGCAGGCCGGCTGGTGATAGGGAAGCCCAGGAACTGTAGGCCTCAGCAGACGCGATGTTGAAGTGAGGCTGAGCAGCACGCTCGTATAGACACGATGTCGGAAGTTGGGAATAAATAAAATACTTAATGCGCTACTTGGATCACCTGTCTTTGAAAGGAAGAGTTGCCGTCATCTAAAATTCAACAGAGATTGTTTGGAAGTGACTATTTCTAGTTGATTTTAAAAACTGTCCTTGTGGACACTCGGTTGTGATTGTAAAATGCTGGTACACACACGTGTCACAAATCTGTTACTGTGAAGTTTTCACGCCAACCTCAAAGGTTTAGAATTGCTGGTTCGGGGGAGTGACAAAGTGAAGGCCTGCGGGGTGTGGGGCCCCGTTGCCCTGGCGTGGACCAGGACGCCGGTGTTCGCGGAGGCCCCGAGGCTCGGCCCAGGCCCCGCGCTGGTATGGGCCTCGGTGGCTTGCAGCAGGTGCACCTGACGGCATCCCCTGGGTCCTGCTCTGCCCCGTGTCTGCACCACGGCGTCCCCCACACCATGTCATGCAGCGACTAGGACAGTGTTCGGAATGTTTTTTGATTCTGTTTCTTTCTATTATTATTTTCAGAGGTAAAGTGGCGTGCTTTCTGTCAAAATTAAACGCACTGCCTGGGTTCCTTATCTGTCCCTTTGCTCAGGGGAAGGTGAGGAGTGGGGACAGCTCCCGGCCAGCCCGCCCCGGTTTATACAGGCTGCCATCTAGTGGCAGCTAAGGGGACTGCGGCAGCTCCTTGCTGCAGGGTCGCTTTCCGCAGGCGGTGCTCCTCATCCATGCGAGTTCAGAAACGCCTGTGAGCACATGTATTCTTTGTCGTTCAGAAACGGACTAAGGGCACTTACCCTAATGTGTACACAAGAGATTGGAAACAGCGGTTAAGCAGAGATTGGCTATAACTCTCGAGAGTTTCATTTTTTTCCCTGCGTGGTCTCTACTTAAGAACACAGCCTAAATTTTCCCATTCTGAGTCCATTATGTATTTCTGAGCAAAGGCATTTTAAAACTATTTTTAAACTTTTTTTTTGAAAACTAAGAGCTAGCTGTGGCTTTAGGTTTTTTTCTTCCTTATTTGATGTTTTGCAAATTACAGAAGTAATACTTACGTTGATGGTATCGAGGGAAACAAGGTCTGGTCTGTATTCTTCCTCATCTTTATCACAAGAAATACTGAAAAAACGTGGGGTCCTTCTTTTACAGGCACAGATATCTCTGTAGGTGGATTTCTGGACTTTCATTTGTATACAGAATATTTACCTGCTGCTGACCAGCATTTGGAAAGATTCTGTGTAGCCCACAGAGGCAAGGAGCAGCCAGCTTCTCGGCGGTAACTGAGAGTCGGTGACTCTGGCTCTTCGTATTTGACCAGTAGTTACATTACCTTCCTTCTTTTCATCTCATGAATACGTGCTCTGCAAACTAAGCGATTCTAGGGAGTGAGGGCCTCGGGCCCAGGAGACTTAATACATTGATTCCCCTGCAGACCATTTGTTATATAGTCAGCTTTTCCTCAGTTTTCAGGAATATTTTCATTCCTGAGTGGAAAGAAGAACCACACTTGAAGTGCTGGAATCATCACAGTAAGAACATTGGCCCAGGGCTCTCTGGGGCTCTGCCAGGGACGAGGAGATAGAACCATCTTGACCGAAGGCCACCTCCGCCCCCCAGAGCGTCTGCTCAGGCTGGTGTGGCATGCACGTCTAGAAAGAATAGTAATTGTAGGTGTGTGTTTTTACACACACCAAACACACATGCCAACAAACGGCAGGAGGCGTGACACACGGTTGGAGAGTGAGCTCTCCTTAATGGGCTGTCACTGGTCCACATCAAGCAGTGGAAAAGGGCACATGCAGGCTGAGATTGCCTGGGAAACTCGCGGGAGACGCACAGGCTGGCATGAGCTCTCAGAGGATAGCCAGCCGTGGCAAGCGGAAAGGGGAGTCCTCTGGGCGGGGCAGGACTAGCATCCAAAGCCCCCCACCCAGGGCTTATTTAACAAACTGGGAGTGAGGCCAGTCTGTTCTTGGATCCATCCCACCAGCCTGAGGGATATGGCCTCTTCGCTCTCCTTTCTTCTCTATTCTTAGGACAGTAAGGAGACCAGTAAGATGAAAATAGGGGGTTCTTGCTGAAGACCCAAGTATGGGCCTTGTTGGGGAGACCGCATGGGGTGGCTTTGGGAATGAGACACCGGGGCTGAACTTGGACCTGTTGAGTAGGAGACCCTTGAGCTTGGCTGAGCTAGGAGCTGGTTTTGAAAAGTACCTTCTTTTGGATTAATGGAGTATTCTGTGGGAATTTCATTTGAGCCACTTGGTTGGCTGATCTGCTCTTACACTTTGCGGTCTCGTTTTACTCTTTGCCTTAGGTGTCCTGCCCTCGAAGAGAAATGTGAAGGTGTGATGGGTTTGGAGGAGAGAAGGTAGCGGTTAGTGGGGACAGGATGGTGAGGCCTTGAGCATCCAGCCCACTGTGGACCCAGGGTGGGCACAAGACAGGGAGCGTTGGTCTTCACAGAACTTTGCGGTGTCCCGACCAGTGCTTAGCCCCACATCCTCATGCTCTCCCTAGCCCAGCTTCATGGTGGGCTGTTTTTCGTGTCCGTGAGCCACTCTGCCATGTCCTCCCAGCCAGCTCTGTCGGGATTCCTCGACCTGAGTTCAGACTGTCTGTGGTTGAATGTGCGAGGTTACCTGCCGAGCCCCGGCTGCCCACCGGGTCTACTGAGGCAGAGCTGTGGTCTGCAGTTGGCTCCCTGGAGGTCAGAGTTAAGAACATCTGAGCTACAGGAAAGAGGATCGGAGACGTGCTAGTTGTCAGCTTCCCCAGAGGGTTTGGAGACAAGTGGGCGTGGGGTTTTCTCACCGTCTGTGACCTTCCCAATGGGCTTATGGAACGGAGCCTTCAATGTGCAGAAAAAAGAAAAAGTTGGCCTTTGTGGGATGCTCAGCAAAGAAAGACGTGGCACCATTGTCAGCCTCAGCCTGTTGGCCCCCAGACCCCTTCGAGGTGCAGGGTCTCCCTTGGGGGCGAAGCTACGGCCCTCAGGCTGCTCTGGGTCCCCCGAGAGTCCTGCCTGAAGAAGGGACAGAGCAGCCTCAGAGACACGTGAAAAGCCAGATTCTGAGGTCTCACTTTTCACCTGGCAGATTCTCCTGTGCCTTCACCCCCCTGCCAGCTCCCCACTTCTGGGCATCAATCCCAAGATGGTTAAACCAGAATCTTCACTTCGGCTCCATTATTCAGGAGAAGTAGGAGAAGTTGCAGTGGGCTCCGCTGCTTCCTCTTGCCTTAGAGACCCAGGCAGCAAGAGGCCTGGTCCTGCTTTCTGGCTATAACCATAGTAACAGCGGGGGGAACAGGCTTGGAGCTTGTCATCGTCCCCCACCCCCCGCCCCCGTCAGGACCAACACGCAGGGCTGTGGGAAGCTGTGAAGGAAACCTGTGCTGATTCGGTTCATTCACAAATCCCTGATTAGGATCTTCTGCGGTTGGTGTGCATGTCGTTCAGACGTCATGTTCCCCTGGAAATTACGAACGTTGAAAAACCACCCAGTGAAGTTCACGGTGGCACCGTGAGCTGCCTGCGAGCACCACCGTGCCCGGCACGGCCTGGCAGAAGCGGATCCGCGGGTCTCGTTGGCAAAGCGGTTTTTAAATTACAAAGGAAGCTAATGTCCTGTTACCATCTTACCCTCTAAACCCGTATTATCCATTTAATGCTCTTAACTATTCGTATTTGTCCATTTTCCTCCACAGGTTGAAGAGAGACCAGAGAAAGATTTCACCGAGAAGGTAGGGAATCTCTGGAAGCCTTTATGTTGTGTTGTTGATAAACCGCGAGGGGCCCAACGTGTGTGGACGAAACTGACAAGAGAATATGTTGGTTAATCTTGAATGAAGATGCTCACCCTTGAGTGAACAGGGCATGCATGTGGCACCACGTCCTTCAGGGGGTCCCCCGGAGCCACTTCCAGCGTGGGTGTTAAAGCCCGCGAAGAGCAGAGGCGTTCACTGTGGGCCTAGGCATGAGCATCAGGTTGACCCAGACTAATTCCCAGGCCTCCATGAGGCCCCTCAGAGTGAACCTCTCTTTATTGCTTTCTATAAGCCCCTGGAGATTTGACAACATACAGTAGACTTGCAGGGGACTCTGGTTTTGCCTGAAATCACATTCGGTCCTTGTGGCTTTGCAGGGCTCGCGTAGCCTGCCCGGCCTGTCTGCAGCCGCCCTGGCCTCCCTGGGCGGGACCTCTAGGAGGGGAAGTGGGGACACCTCCATCTCTGTTGACACGGAGGCGTCCATTAGGGAAATCAAGGTAAGTCTGCCTACCTACCTTGTGACCTAGAGGAGCCTCTTAGGAAAATCAGTCTTCGAGCATAAGTTTGTAAAGTTCCGGATCTTTCTTCTGGGTCCAGTCTCCCCCATGTCTACATGTTCTAGTCACACCAACACCAGCTCAGATAAGGGTCTCCCGCAGGAAGCTGCACCTGCCCGCCCACCCCGGCTGGGCAGACCCGTGCCCTCCGCGCTCCCCGGGCTCTCGGACACACCCTGCGGTGCTCAGCTCCTTCCCTGGCGTGCACAGACAGGTGGTCTCCATTTTTCTGGAATAGTCTCCCATTTTTCTGGACACCAGATTACTCACTGCTCCCAACAACACCCCCCTGCCCTTTGCGTGTCCCCCCGCCCCTGCCTAGAATATGCTTCTCCTTTCTATCTGTAGTATGCACACTATGCCTCGAATAGGTCATCGTTGTGTTTTAGTGATTTTTTTTCTCGTCCCACCGGAATGTAAGCATTCTGTGCTCCATGCTCACCACTCAATGGGGGCCACTCTGAGCATGTAAGAGACAAAGGCAGGACTGTCCGGAAAAGTAATTAGGAACCTCAAGGGACTGGCTGTCCTCTGGAGAGCAGAGCCAAGGCCCGAGGGGGAAACATCAAGGATGGGATTTGGCTTCGTTGAGGGAAGAATTTTCTATTAATTAAAACTGGTGAAAAGGGAACCCGCTGCAGGTGGTATCTGAAGCTCGATGACCGCCTGCCAGGGAGGTCAGAGAAGGGATGTAGATTCCCTAAGAGTGCCTTCAGAGTCCTGTGCTTTGTAAGGACAGTTTTTGTGGGCCGCTCTTCCTAAAACGTCCGCGCGCCCTCCCTGGGCCTCCAGCGGCTCTTTGCCCATTCCTTTGCTACATCCAAGTGCAGTTTGCTGCAATCCTGATTCATCTCTGCTCGTAGTCTTGAGAGCACCATTCATTCGCTCAGCGAGCGTGTATTGAGAGTCTAGCTCAGACCAGACACCGGGCCCCAGGAGTGCGGAGCAGAGACGAAGCTCTGTAAATGCAGGGACGGAGCTCGGCTGAGTCCCACCTTTAGTATTTTCCTCTGTCTAGCACCGGGTAGCAACCCAAAGAGCCTGAGTTTTAACTGTCAAATATGAGTAAAAGAACCTGTTCCACTTTTGGAACCTCCTTTGTCTGTTATATAAAATTGTGCAAAAATATAATGATATAGACCTGCATTTTGTAAAATTTTGTGACAATATCATATGAGATAGACCTCAGTTTTAAGCTTTGTGATTTTGAAATTCATTTTATTTTCCTTCAACACTTAAAAAAAGAAGAAAAGAAAATCACTGCCCAGACTCCCCAAATGAGGGAAACGACCCAGAAGTAGAAAAGATTTAGGGGACGGCTTCTCTTTCTTTGTGGTCGTGCTCACTTTTCTCCCCTCGATGTCATTTGCCTCTTTTGCCAATTCCTAGGAACTGAATGAGTTAAAGGACCAGATTCAGGACGTAGAAGGCAAATACATGCAGGGGTTGAAAGAGATGAAGGTACCAGTTTACGGAAGTGTGGGCTGATGGTATTAACCCAGTTTAACTTCAGAAAACCTAAAGAAGACATACAGACTGCATGCTTGCTCTCAAGAGCCTCCAGACTACAGAATCTGAGGTGGCAGGAACACGGGCATGGCTTTGTGCCCTGAGTGGTCTCCCCAATGCAGCTTTTGAACCGAGACCTGAACCCTGTAACCCTCAGTAGAAACAGTTACTAACACACTTCCTGATGCATGTTTCTGACTCACCCTCTTCACCCGGCCCACACCCAGGTTTCTTCTCACTTCCCACAGAAGTGCACCGTATGCTTGCAGAAGGGTTTGGGGGTTTTTCTTCACTGTCCGTAGTCGCTCCATACAAACAATGCTTCACTTAATTTGCTTCTCAAAGCATTGGATGTGTACCAGGAAGGCTGTCCTTATTGCCACGCTTCTGAAACACCCAGAGTACTTGCTTGCATGTTGTAAAGTTTCACTAATTGAAGCAGCGTCCGAACGTGCACCCTCTCGGATTTATTTGAGCAAACAGACATTACTGTAAGAATGGGTTATCACTGCCGTGTGTCAACCAGGAAATTTAGTTGCCGTATCCCTCGGTGGTGAGGTGGGTAGTTGAGGACCTTGTTCTCTGTGGATCTAGCAATAGATGGCAAGCCTGGTACTTCTTCTTCAGGTTCCCAGAAAGGACCCCCAGCATAGTGAGTTTTCTATCACAGGGGCACCAACCAGAGGCCATGTTGGTTTTAAAATGACAAATTAATCCCTGGCATGCTTGTCATCTCTCCTTGAAGAGAGGGGGAAGTTATGGTTGACTTTGAATGTGTGGTGAGAAGGGGGTCACCGAACCAGCCCAGGAGCCACGGGTCCCACCTAAAATTGCCATCCTGGTTCGCAAGTGCAGACGAGCGTAGCGCGGAACTCCGGGAGGCCGCCTCAGAGGCCCTGACCACGTAGTGCCCACCTCTCTTTAGCTTCGGGTGGTTCCCACCCCCAGGGATTCACCCTCCCTGTTCTGGGGTCCCCTTCCCCTGATCTGTGCTTGGGGACGACCTTGCTGCTCCCCTCCATTGCCTGGCCAGCGAGAGTGTGAGCCGCAGGAGGGCGTGTTTCCTCTGCAGGCCTCTCTCCCCGGGGCTGTCCTTCCAAAGGAATGCCCTCTGTCCTTCACGGACAGACCCAGTGAGACGGGCACAGCTTGTTGAGTCGTCCTGTAGGTCGAAACTTAAAATTCCACCTAATCCTTTCCTGGTTCACAAGCCCAGACAGGGGCAGCCGGCAGTTAGTGGCAGGTGTCATGTTCTCTCAGCCAACACGCCTGGCTCTTGCCAGGGTTCTGGTCACATTTCCTGAGGGACTATTTCCAAAACCTGTCGAACGGCCCAAGCTGCTGCAACGGGCGCCACCAAGTCCCGCAGTCAGGTCACGGGGTCCGGCCCACAGCCTCCCCGTCACGTGTCTCCCTTGTGCTGATGGCCATGGAAGCCGTCTTCCTCCCAGACACAATTAAGAACTAACTTTCTAAGTTAATAACTAATATCCTGAGTGGTTAATAACCGACTTGACCCCATTGGAAGGGGGGAATTTCTGTGCATTTGAAATTACCATGTGTTTCTTATCCTGATCCATTTGCCCTAAGAAAGTCTAAAAATAGGGCTAGTTTGGGGGGGTTTTGTTTTTTATTTTTTATTTTCTTCAAAGACCACTGAGCTAATCTCTGTTTTTGTTCTCTTACACAATTTCAAAAACCTGACGTGGTTTCTGCAGGACTCACTAGCAGAAGTTGAAGAGAAGTATAAGAAGGCTATGGTTTCCAATGCTCAGCTGGACAATGAAAAGACGAACTTCCTGTACCAGGTCGATACCCTAAAGGACATGTTGCTGGAGCTCGAAGAGCAGCTGGCTGAGTCCAGGCGGCAGTACGATGAGAAAAACAAAGTAAGCGCCAGCATGAGAGAGAACGGGGGGGG